AATCGACTACACCAAAATTTCTCGGGAAAACACTTTTTCTTATTAATTTTGGTGCGTAGAATCCAAAACAATTCGTACTTTTTCGATTAGATTTTTCAATCAAAAGTTATAGACTAGAAACCAATTTCGAAATAAAATTCAAAGGGCTGTAACTTTTGAGCTAGTAGCCCAAGATCGAGTTCAAGCAATATATAATAAGTGAAGAAAGCATGTGCTGCTGTATTATGGAATTCGCCCACGGATGTTAAATTGTTAAAGTAATCGACGTGCGCAAACGTATTCGACTATACCTACTCGGAGTAGGTATGACAAATTCAAAGATCTAAAATTTTAAAAAAAACAAGCCCTGAAGATGTGTGTTCATAATTTTTCATGTAGGGATGCCAATCAGACAGCATAATTCATTCGAGGAAGAGAGTTGCAGTTTGTGATTTGTGGAGTACCATTCAAAAATGCTGTGACTTGCATCGGTTACTATAGTTCAGGCAAAAAAGCAGGTGTTATAGCGTGCGTGAGCAGGGATCTAAGTGATCTTTTAAGATACTTGTTCAAAGTGCTTAGGTAGTATGAACATACAAAAGTCCTGATGCCTAGGTGGCCAACTGCGAGAAGGGGGTAGAGGAATAGGTACAATTTTTAAGATTTCCGCTTATACTCGTATGTTGACAACAGTTCAGTAGGTACCTATATGATGGGGAAAAGCTTCTTCTATTAAATGCAAGTTGATTAGATATATGTTGTTGTTCCAAGAATATTAAGAATAAATTGCGAATATTCTTTTAAGTTTATTCTCAGAATATCTGAGATATTTCCATTCGCCTATCCCAACTACCTATATCTTACAAGGGATGAATATATTTTAGGTATATTTAAATACATGTTCAAATATCCCTTTTTGAATATTCCTGGTACCTATATTACAGAAATATTCAATGTTATCTGGGCGATGGTGTTATTGGAGAGCTTGTAGTGGCCAACGGTTGGGAATTCGGAAAAAGTGGCGAAAATAAAAGTTGTAGAGAGTGGAAACTCAAAAATTATACATTTTCCCTCATCCCCGCCCCTCGGATCGTCACCTAGGTGTAAGGACTCTTGGTATATATGTTCATTACCGAAACACTCTGAACAATTTTCTGAAGGAATCGCTTAGGTCCCTGCTCACGTAGTTTACACCCCCCAAGTAGGCCGTTCAGTGACTGGACTATACTCACTAAATTACTAGAGATTAGTGGAGATATTTACCCACGTCTTAGTGCATGCTGCATTTATGATTGACCATTTATGAATACACCGATACATTGGAGTATAAAGACATTTATTTCATAACCTTTGACCTATTGACACGATATTCCTACCTGTGACAAAGACGTAATCTCGTTTCGGTGCTCTAGGGGCTTCCGTTCCAGAGTTCCAGATGGATTTGAAGCAGGATCTATCGAGCCTTTAATAATTGGTGATTGGTGTCGAAATCTTCTTTCCCAAGTCTATATTCATCTACAAGAATTACATAGTTAATTTATAATGTATGTGTGCTTTGAGTATAAGAAAGTTATAAGAGCTATAATTATCGCACTTTCGTTTAAAATGTAATTAGACCAGGGGGTATATCAAGTGTCTCAGACGATTGCGCCATTTGAGTAAAATCTCCATGAAGTGTACCTACTAGAGTAATGATGAATTCGGGATGAATGTGGCATCGAATCGTGTACAATGCTGATTCGTTAAGCCTGCATTCAATTAATTATGTGAAAAAGGTGCAATATAAATACACCCTGCTCGAAGACGCGGTCAACTAAACTGTTCTACTAAATAAATTCAAAATTAGGTACGCGTTTTCATGCCGAACTGGTTTCTATATACCTACTTAGTCAATATGTTGTCGACGTAAATCAATTACTCATCTTTTTTAATCGGTCAACGTAAGGCCACATTAAACTGCCCTGAATTACAAACCATTTTGCCGAAAGAAACTTAAAATTAATATTAATTTCGTTTCGAGCAACAATCTGCACCCTCGGGATTAAAACACACACTTTAGTCCTTTGGTATATTACATACTAGACGACTATAGTAGACCCTTATCCCTGATGAGTATCCTTTCCAAAACGCTTTTCCGGTATCGGATGATTTGAAGAACCTGTGGGATCGTGCAGCATTTCAAAAAATAGCACCTTCGATAGCTGGCCATCATAAGGTTTACGCTTAGTTTCCGCCGCATTATTTTCAGTCAACATGAACCAAGAACGAGTTCAAGCAAGATAAGTCAAGAAAGCGTTCTTGTTCGGCTATATTATGGAGTTAAGATCAAGAACGTTTTTCCAGGGATGCTAACGTGTCCAAACGTTTTACTAATTCAGTAATCGGTACCTTGAGAAATACTGCGAGTGTGACAGATCCATCGATGAAAAATTAAAAAAAAACAAGCCCTACTGAAGATGTGTGTTCATAATTTTTGCAGGGAGCATAGTTCGTTTGAAGAATTAGGGGAAGTTGGCAGTTTTTTTAGAAGAACTAAATTACTAGATACCTATTAGTGGACATAAATGCATGTATGATATTGACAATTTATTATAAATAAACCGATATAATGGCGCTTAAGACTTTTTCACCTATTGACAAGTTCTTACCTGTGCTCTAGGTGCTGTCGTTCCAGAGTTCCAGATGGATAGACGGGTAGAAGAACGATTTGAAGAAGTAGTCTGCCGAGCCCTAAATAATTGGTGCGTAATTAATTTGTAATTTCTTGGAGGTCCCATATTTTCCTAGGGAATCAGAAAACTAGTGAATTGAAGAAAATTAAATAGGTACCTATACTTATTAGCTGCATATATTATTATTAATGAACAATTTTTCACAAAAATAGCCGACACATTTTGAATCCAAAGCGAGGAATTTTTCTGATGCTGCGAGTGAATTTGTTTCCAATAATCATGAAATGCAGTTTTTACTTAAGTACGTATAGGTAACACATAATCGCTTTCTAAGCTTCTAGAATTGACATCTGCGTCAGTGCTGGTCAAGACTACGTTGTCCCAAAATTTCCAAAAAGAAAAATCTCTTCCACGTACCTTCTTTTTTGGTTGAATCGCTGAATCGTGTACAATGCACACTCGTTAACCACAATTAACAGCATTGAATTAATAACGCATAAAGGCGCAATACACACTGCCCGGAGACGCGGTCAACTAAACTGTAGCATCTACTAATAAATTTAAAATTACGCGTTTCGTTTCGAACTGGTTTCTTATACTTATTCAATACATTTGTCGAAGTAAATCGATTACTCACCCTTCTTAATCGGTCTACGTAAGACCACTACTTCTGTAAATCATTTTACCAAAAGGAACTTAATACTGTATTGGCAAACGAATTTTACATACTACACCCCTCTCCCTGGACCCTGAGTGTCCTTTCCAAAACTCTTTTCCGGCATCGGATGATGAAAACCTGTGGGATCGTATACAGCATTACAAAAAATTGCCTCTTTATGTCGATAGCCGGCCATAAAGTATAGGTGACCTTAGTTTCCACCGTATTATTTTCAATCACAATTTTAACTCGGATGCCATTTTGGTCGATCATAATTTTAAATATTAAGAGATTTTGGTGGGGCATGCCGACAATCAGCCCTGTATCTGTAGAAAATGTTATTTTGCCTATTCTAAATAAAGGAAAATAAAGTTTTTTTTTGGCAACGGTAACTTGCAGGTTAAGTTTGACGTTTGTGATACACACCACAGGACTAAATAATAACAGCATGCCTTCCTGGGTTGCTGGGTGGAATTTATTTAATTTTAGTTGTAGTTCTACTTATATTGTAAAAATTATTCAATAATTTAATATGTTGTAATTGTTCTTTTTTGTAATTTAAGACGTAGAAGTTAAGCAACTTGTGAGTAAAGAATGTATTGTGTTTACGTAGTTAACAGATGCTTGATAAGCAGACTTTATCAAAGTAAAATTTAAAAGAATGAGGTAAGCGGCACAAGGGTAAGTTTAGAAAGGAAATGCACTGTAAACAAGTGCTCGCATTTCGTCGGCCTTTACCGAAGATAAAAAACGCGATGGAGGTGGTGCGGACTTAAAAAGCTTTGCGCGCCGCTGGGGAAGGCGGATCACGCGTCATTTGAATTTGCGTGCAAATTTTCAAATACAATTTTTCCGACGGTCAGCCGATGTTTTGAAATTTGTTTGTCAGTTAAAATTAAAGGAGAAGTGTTGGTTTTCCGATTGCTCTACAGAGCAGAGTCAGTGTGCACGCATTAAGTTACAAGTGTGGGTGATTTAGGAAAAGGAAGGAGAAACTGTGTGTACGCGGTTGTAATAATTCTGTGAAAAGTGTGTTGTTTTCGTCATTTATCGCATCTGTACAGGTGGTGTCAGACCAAATCTTGAAACCCAGCTGGACCGCCATTGCTATATTTTATGTAAACACTTTTTAAATAAACCAATAAATATTTCTCAAGATTCATCCATGCTTCCCCTTTTTAACTATTGTGCTATTACTAAATGCGTTAGTGTAACCATTGATTATAAAACGCGAAGGATAACGTGCAACAGATAAATACAAGAGACAGTGTAACAAAACACTTACACATTTATTTAATAATACATACAAATAACAATATTTAAATAAGGGGTGGCTTACATGTTCTGTTCAGGTCGAAGGTTTTTGCTCAAACCGTGTGATTGAAACTTACGTTTGGGAACTCTTTGTAATTGATTGATGTATTTTACTTGCAAGTGAGAAGGGACGTAGGAATCAAGCAGAGACTTTGGTCCGTGCACCAGCGAGCTTGAGCTGAATTTTTGAGGTGTTGGTAAGGTCTTCGGAATGTAGGTAACTTGTGGTTGGACAGCGGACGGTGAAACTAACTGATATTGCAATTTGTCTCCTTGGTACAAATAGGACGAGGATAATTGTGGCTGTAGAGTACTTGCTCCACTTTGTAGATACTCCGGTTGGATATACATGAAGTATTGCAAATTAGTTCTGGGATCGTAGGCGGTGTCAATGTTGTTGCTGGGCTGTTGAAGGTAAACGTATTGAGTTAGGTAGTTATCGGTAATAGGTTGCACATTTGCTTGCTGCTCCCTTTGCTGGACGGGCTGGTATATGAAATACGCCGGTGGCGATTGCGCTAGTCCTGATGGTTGATAGGTAAGTAGCGATTGAGATTGTTGCTCATAGTACTGATTATTTGGGACGTGTGCCACGGCAGTCTTCATTGGTCGAAACCCGTACTCCATTCGCATGTTTTGAGGTTTCTCAACCCGTTGAGGCAACTTAGGCCGAATTTGCTGTTGGTAAGTATATTCGTATCTTTCTCTGTGATCTTCGCCGACATTCTGACGCTCCATGTCCTCCAACATTACCTGCTGTTCAGGAGGGGCAGCAAACGTTGTACTTAGAAGGCAGTAGCCAAATGCAAGTGTGAGTAACTAGAAATAATAGGTAGGATTAGGATACAATCAAATATTATATGCAAACGAGATGAGGAAAAGGTAAAGAATCTACACCGCAAGGGTCTCTGTTACTAGTTGAACCTAACATAGTAATTGAATTCACTACTTGGTGGCTGTTTTTTTCAGTATTATCACAGACAACATATTGTCTGTGGTATTATGCTATTAGTATTGTACTACTTTAAAACAAAACTCGATACAGTGATTAAATACAGTGCCCAATTTCATTTTGTGTAAACATTTTGAGCACTAGTGAAATGGTTAGTCTGGCAGTATGAATAACGTTTCTTATTGTCTGGACAACTTCACAATATGGATCTTCGCCTGAATTTTAAATTCGCTATCACAGAATTACGGAAAGTGTTATATTGTTTAAAAAAACATTTTTCGTTTGTGAATAACACGATTAGGTAGCCGAGTCACGCACAACCCAATCAAGGACTGATTAAAATGCGACGTCGAAGGTGTTGATAGGAGGTAAATTTTTGGACTTTTTTTTGCAAAATGTTTTATGGAGTCATTTCCAAAGGTTTAAGTTCCAATAATTCACGATTTTCTCAAGTTGAGTTGAAAAACGTAGTCTGGTTACGTCAAGTTTTAATGCTCCTCACAATGGTCCCGATATCATCAAGGACTCAATCACAGCTTTGCGAATCTTGCCAACTGCAAGTACTACGTAAAACTAATTTTTTTTATTAATTGAACACATACGTGGCTTTGAATCATTTTAAAATAAACTGCTCAAACCAATATAGACAATGAGCGACAAACACAAACGGACGGACAGAAAGTCCAAATGATCAACATTTAATCAGTTAGTCCCTTGGCCAGAGTCTACATATTACTGAAAATAGAATTAGCAAATTCGAAGCCGTTCCCGAGTTATCATATACACAGGCAGACGGACGGACAAAAAATCAAAATCATGAACGGGCTTTGTCGTTCGTTAATAAAAGCCAACGTTTCCATCATAAGTCGCATATTTGTTGTTGTTTTTTTAAATTAATTGATTTTCTGAAAGATGAGTTGATGGATGATTGTATATTTTGGACAAAAATGATTTTTCTCCAGACTTTATCAGCAGAAATCTCCAAATGATATAATATTTTCACAGCCAACAGCTTTTAATTGTCTCAGGAATCGTTTCGGACGATCAGGGATGGTTCAATAGGTATGGACAAGATCACCTTCTGCCGTAGGAAAGAAAAACTGCTGGAGATTACTCGATGAAGCTATTTTCTCTCCTTTTCTCTTACTATTAAATTCGTTTCTAGAGACCGTATCTAATAACAAAACGTGCTCATAGGACAGAACTGTAGGCGCATTCTTTATAAATTGAAGATTAATAGGTACTATAATCTACTCAAAAAGAGAATTTTACGTAATTTATAAAGAGAAAACTTTTGCAGAATTTTATTAAATTAAATTTAGGGTAAGCTTAGATAAACAGAAATTTATTAAAAGTTAGACATATCTACAGAGCGAAAATGTTGTCATTATGAATTATAAAAAGTTTGCTACCAATCTACGTACTTTAAGTTTGCAATCAGTAAAATGCTCTAAAAAGCTCAAAGTTTGCTACCACCAAAAATAAAATCGAGCAATGCGAATTAAAACTCAATAATCTCAGTACAAGAGTTGTTGGACCTGGTGCTCATAAATGACATTTAGAAATCGGTTTCTTATTATGCAAAATATATCCCATTCAAAAAACTGTTGGCTTTACATTGAACATCTCATGCCGGTTGCGTTTCTTGCACTTTAAGTGGCAGTACAGTGAACTGCTACAGTACAAGCTATGCTATAAATGACTTGCTCGTTGAAAGTAAATTAAGCACTTAATTTATTGTGGTATTAATGCTATGTCTTTTTTCCAATACACTACGTGTAGACCCGTATAAATAATCCCTTCCATCCCCTAAGACAGAAGTATTCACTAACTTAAAGTGCATACCATAGGACCCAGTCCTTGGATGTACAGGGTGGTTCAAACTCGTGGCTCACCATTGGGATCTCCGCAACGATGAGAGATACAGTGTAGGTTAAATAGGGTCCCTTTTTGTTTTCAAAAAGAAAAATAGTGACTACACACTCTGTACTTTTACATGAATTTACAAGAAAAGATTTCAAAATCAAATGTTTTGAATAAAAATTTTAGGGAAAGATTCTTTGGGATGATTGCTACCAGAACGCAGCCTCACGTTCCGAGTAGAGGATCGGATGGAAGGATAAAGGGATAACTACCACCGGGAAGCAGTCTCACAACTCGTAACGAACACAGACTTAACTTATATGGTAGTCCGGATGGAATGGTAGTAAAGGACACAGGCTACTTGTCGAAAATCCCCTTACGCTTGTAACATACCCTTTTTATACAATTTGTTTTTTAATAAAATCCTAGTATCATCAAACAAATTATGTTTTCGTTCCTTTTGCTGTGGAGACACTTAGACCCTTCTGTGATTCAGCCTTGCAACACACAAAAGAATGTGGCAAATTACTTTCTATTAAAAGCGCTGATGTAAGATCCACATCATTTCTTTATCAAAAACTTAGTATTGCCGTACAAAGAGGAAATGCATGCTCTGTGATGGGAACTTCTCCTCCTGGTAGATGGACGAAATTTTCTTTATACTATACTTTTCGTGTCCCACAATCTGTGATTTTCAGTGACATAAAAACGAATGGATGTTGTCATTACTCATTACCCTATTTGACCGCTCTATGGAGTTCACTTCGGGACGATAAGCTGCATTGTAGCAAAACTTCTAAACATTATATTTTTTTAATTACTTTTTTAAACACCCCTCCCACAAATTGAGGGTCATTGTCACACATTAAGATCTGGGGAACCCCAAACCTTAAAAATACATCGTTCACTAGAAATGTTGCAATATAGAACTAGCTGTAGCTTTCCTTAAAAGGTAAAGCAGTACCAATTTTTTTGAGGTGTATCCTTTAGGTGATCTGGGTAACGGACCAATTAAATGTATGGAAAGCAGCTAAAAGCGATATTCAATCTTTTTAGGGTATTTTCCAACGAAGTTGGGTGCGCTATTGCAACCACTTTTTTCTGTTTACCCAGGAACGCTGGTCTGATTTACATTCTTGACAGACTTTGCAACCCCTACATATTTTAAAACATTCGTTCTCATTCTGGGAAGTTTTTTTCAATGTTTTAAACTTTAAGGGATCCTAAATGAGTAGAAGTAGGTTCATTATGTAACTGTTCGGCTCGTTTTAATCGTGGAACCACAATTTTCCATTGAATCAGGTGGCACATTTTTTAAAAATTATTCCATTCTCTATTCGCCAAGATCGATATTCTTTAGGATAGAAGTGCAATAATAAACGTCGTTAAAAGATAGGGAACTAATATGATTGGAGCAGGAGCGCGTGATGAAGTTGGTTACTGTATTGACTTTTTCTTTCTTATGCTCAATTTCAAAATCATATTGAGACATTCTAGCCGACTACCTAGCTAACCTTCCGAGATTGCAATTGCAAAGCGAAATGATCAGTAACTTGTTTGAATTTCGTACATTTTACGTAAGGACTACATTTCTCGATGCCAAAAAGACAAGCTAGACACTCTTTTTTCGTAGAGCTCGGTTTTGTACAAAGCGCGACTCACGTAAGCAATAACTTTCTCGTTCTGTACCTCCAATTGCACTAAAATAGCGTCAAGACCAACATTACTGGCGTCGCGTCGTATTGAATGATAAACGATTTAGTAAAATCCGGACTACTTAGAACAGGTGTTGATCTCAATAACTCTTTTAATTTTAATTTAATTTTTTAAAGGCCGCTTCGGCTTTTTCGTTCAATTTCACAGATGTTTTCTTCTCGTTCCCTTTAAGATCTAAGATAGGAGACATAAAAAAAATAAAAATTTGGGATAAACCTCCTATACCAACTAGGCATGCCTAAAAATCGTTTAACTTGTGTACAAGAACTTGGCAAAAGAAATGAAACTATGGCATCTACTTCAGATGGATCCGTACGTAAGATCCGGCTGTTTTAAAGTATATACAGGGTGTTCATTTGAAAACTTCCCATCGCGAATTTGTCGAAAACCACTGATTAAAGGAAAAAACGCCGAGACTCGTCAAAAGGTTTAGCAAAGGGGACAACTTATTTTTAACCAAAAAGTACTTCACTCCCTTTCACCCTATGCCATCCAGGGTCACTCTCTTCAAATTTTAAATGATAGTGGTATCGAGTAATAGCTTGTTTGAAAGGTCTTTCGAAGTCCGTTATTTTTAGTCAAAAGTGAAAAAATCACAGGTTCCTAAGTTCTCGGTGAGAAATGGATCGCGAGTACACATCAAAATCCGTCTGAGGGCCTTTAATACCATCAAATAAGCAAAAATATAATAACATTAATAACTGATGTGAGATACGACTTAAAAGCATGTTTTCACGACTGCGTTACATTTCAATTAGGTATATACAATTACTTATTACTTTATAGAAATCACACTGATTATGCTGGAGAGTCAGTATTCAACAGAATTGAAAAACTCTTTGGTAGATTCTTGATTTATCGTAGCTAGGTAGGTACAAAAACAAGCCCAATCGCTTACTAACTGCCCTAATAACGATCAAACTTACAAAATGAATTATTTTGTTTTAGTAATAGTAATAGTAATATTTATTCTTGTTTTTATACATTGTGTAACGTCATAAAAATAATAATTTTATACAAAAAGTTTTAAAATTTTTCAGTCGCCTATCTTTATCTCACAGACGTCTGTATCACTTAAAAACTCGTCTGTGTAATATGCTTTACTTAATAGAAAGTTTCTTACTAATTTCTTTAGTTTGAGGATTTTCTGTTTTGCAGGTGATATGAAGATGATTATAAAGTTTAAAGCAAAGGTAATTTGAGCTGGATTGAGTTTTACATGTTCTTTCAAAGGGTAAGTAGATGCTGTTTTTATTTCTTGTGTCGTTTTTATTTTACTTATCGTCCATTAGGAGAGGCTTTACTCTGTATTCGCCGCCTAAAGGCCTTACTTAGCGAATCACAATAATAATCAATAAATTATTTTAATTAGTAAATTAAATCTGCACAATATTGTCAGTAGGACATTTAGCAAGCAAGTGACTTATCATCCAATGACTTTGAAATTGTTGACAAATTATAAATTTAAGGTAAAAACTAAAAGAAAATTGGGATTTGTATGCAAGAAACTATGATTCATTGCATATAAATACTTACAAAATACTAAATTGCTCAAATCTTTCATTTTTGCGAAAATGACCACAGATTACTTTAATCTGAGTAATTTCTTAACGACCGAAAACCATTTAACTAATTACCCACTGAAAAATATGTACTCCTGTTGAGGGGATAAATTCAAAAATTCAAATACAATAAATTGATCAAAGAAATGCCTGGTAGGTACGTAATTTCAAAATGAGAAGTGATTTCATTTTTAAAGGCAACGAAAGGGCTGCTGGTTGATCAAATAAACAAAAACATTTGATGTATCAAGAAAATTTCAACTTTCATACTTGAAAATTATAGTGTGTGTAACGGACGAATTCTCTTAAAAATTACGTAGTGTCAAAAGGGGAAGAGATTTCATCTGTAAAGCACAATTAAAGGGTTGTTAGTGGATACTTTAACGAATAAAAATCTAATCGAATAAAAAAGTAATAATGTATTAAGAAAGTTACACTTCCTTCAAATAAAGATTCTTCTATAAATTCCGTAATTTAAAAATGCGAAAAGCAATTAGAGGGTTATTGCAATCTCCAAACATTTATGTATTTGTATCATAAGTCTGGATCTGGTACGCCACCAATCTCACCTGTACCCGTATTAGATATTGTAGAACGGTTTTGTATTTAATTTCGAATCCATCATAACTGCACCTTATCTTTAATTATTGATATTAAACAAATAAAGTGGAACAGCAAAAGTGTATAGATACCAATCATCAATGAAGGTGAAATTTCAGGTGGTGTCACTTTCAAAATAAACGGAACAAATAAACTACTAAAATTATTGTACCGATGACGTGAAAAAATAGCATGCGATCGTAATAAAGAGAAAGAATGTAATAGGTGAAAGGTCTTAAATGCATCCGTATGAAGGAAAAATCAAGAACTTCCTTTTGGAGAAAGCTGTTTTTTCTTCCTTAATAATGACGTTTTAAATTAGAGTAGGTACCTCTTGGCTAAAATGCAAATATTCTACTTTACCTTTTACTAAACTATGGCAATTGGCAACACCTTCTTTGAATAAGCGCTCAAATTAACTTTTCCTTTTTAGGATCGACTATACACGGTTATAAATAATTAAAAGTACCCACAACCAAATACCATCAGTTGACTTAGTGTTCCTTTACTCAAGCGAAAAAAAAGCGTAAAATTTGAAATGGGCGACCAACAAATTTTGGTTACTCCACCGGAAACTCGCAAACCGTTTCTAAGTGAACACAAAAAACTAAGCCAACTAAAGCAGAAATTTGTAACAAAAAGTATCTTACCATCTCGACGGCTTCCTAAATTTCTTAGGTCTTTCACAATCAAAATGACCCCCAAATCTTCGCTACATGGATATTTGTAACGCGATCAGTGAAGGGAAACCCTACCTTTGACTATGCTGCTGAAGATTACCTACCACTCACCATCCGTTCTCGTCTTGATAAACCAATCCTTGAAAACGACACTTAATTTGTTTACGACGGTGATTAATTAAGCGACTGTGAGGACGCCCAATAGAAAGTTGCACTTTTTTCTGTCACTTTGTGGTCACTTTGTAACCTACGGATTATATTTGCATCACATTATTATAATTAATGTTTATGGTCTAAATGGTTTGTTATATCGTTAATTTTCTAATTTTACATCCTTAATCCACGAAGTGATCTGTGACTAATATTCGATATTTAGACAAGCTTAGCGGAAACGAAATGATATAGGTAAGCAAAAATCAGCATATGCATGATGAAAGTGCTTTTTGGTAATACAGATCAGTATTTTATTAGGAAAATTAAAAATTATCGATCTCACGAGTCTCTAGCTATTGTAATTGCCGAGATCCCTGCCCGACAGCCAGTCAGTCATAACGAATATAATAGGCCCTAAAAACAGAATTTGGGTTCAAAAATAGAAGGGCCCAAACCGATTGTCCATAGTCAACAATACTGCCCACACTTTCCTTAGGGCTATTATAGATATACCTCCATTACATGGTGCACTTCGATGTTCTCGAGTTTAAAATTTTAGGCTGGTTCGGTATTATGGACCTCTGGACACTTAGCGAAAATGAAAAATGTACATGGCTTTTTCTGACTTTTCTGAAACTGTATTGATGTGAGGAAGGTGTAAATTAATATAGGCGCTCGTCTTTCCTTACACCCTTAGAGTGTGTAATTGTAATATTTTCAAAACATTTTTCACGATTTTATCGTCTGGCATTAAACATTTTAAGGTAGCACTAAATCTAAAAGAAAAAGCAAGACGTGTCTTTCGTAGAGCTTACGATATGAATTTCCATGATGTAATTAATTATTTAATTAGTAATTGATCCAGATGAATGAGTTTTGCCACTTACAGAGATAATTTCAATCATTTCAGGAGGGTGGGAAATCACCCTCAGTATCCCTGGAGGAGAATTATAAGAATCATTTAACAATGATAGTATAAAATATTACCCCCCTCTAGTACCCCCTCTGGATTACAAGCAACCCCACGAAAATTTTAAATTACAAAGGAAGTCGTGTAGTACCTACCTCGTTTGATTTCTCGGTCTAGCAATATACAGTCTTTGAATTCTGTGAAAATTCTTAAGAAATGTTTTAAAGATACTTATTAAGGATTATTTTATGGCCCTGAAAAAACTATTCAAACATATTCTGGCGTTTTTTCACCGATTCTGTGCATATGCCTACAGAGTGCTTTCGGTAAATAAATTGAGATCATTTCTGGAATTTTTTATGGGCTGTTATTCTGCAAAGATATCACCGAAAAGGCAAAATTGTGGCAACTAAGATTTCAAACTGTTCACCGAGTATACGTGTGAAGTTGGAGTGCCATTTTAAAAGTCAAATAACTTAAAAAATAGAAGAGCACTTTACGTTATTAGGCAAAAATAGCACAAAATTGAGGTATAAAAAAGACACCCGTTTATAACGCATTGCTGTTTCATACCAGATGCTATGACCACACCGTATATTAGAAGCTATATTTAAGTTGGGCGGTTCGTTACTAAAAACTCCGTAGTTTCTGAATTTACTTATTTGCTCTAGGAGGCGAGCTTTGTGCGTTTTCATTTTGTTTGTCTTACCGCCGATAACACTTAAGTTTCGTAGTGAATTTATCCGTTCTGCAACCCTTCTTGTAGGAATATTTAAATTGTTTTTACAGTCGCCAGGGAAGAAGAGAGAGAATCAGTCTTATTAAATTTTAGGTCCGCTAATTACCGATTAATCGATTTTAGTTTTCTAATTGTACCTATACGAAAATGTAGGTTTGAAACCGGCAAGGTCGTGCAGTTTAAGGAAAGTATCAACGCGATAAGAGATTGCTCTGCTTAATCTCAAACTCCAAGGAACAAAAGGGCACTGCTGGTCTGTCGAATTTGGAGATTTTATTCCGACGATATTTGGACCAATATAATTGACTGTGATGGGTTACGTTACAGCAACAACCTCCGATTAAGTCGAGATTACATCCGTTAGGTGCGCTCTTAAAAAACTTGAATTTTGACACCGGTCCTGTTAGATATTAATCTTAGATATTTTTAATTAATTTAGTTTGGCGCTTTCCGAACCTTAGTTTCATGATTAGTGGGAGGAAGTAGAGCAGTAGACGATTTTATGTTAGGAAAATCCATGCATGTTAAGAGAGAAGCTGTTCATTGTGTGTCGTTCAAGTTAAAATAAAATGAAGTAGTTTTCTACGGTTCGCATTTGAATTTATTTCCATTACAGGTCCCATATAGAGATCGGCGAAAGACGTACCTAATTAATTAAAAACAGTTTTAATTTGTTTGAACGTTTCGAAGGTAGGTATAAGTGTACGAGACGGACTTGAAATGGACGTTTAGATAAATAAAAAAAACGCACTATAAAATAAAATCTTTTGCTTTTTGCATTTTAGAAAACTACGTTTTGTAAGTCGCGAAATCTATAGCTTTGTCATAAATTTACTTTTGAAACAATACCCTATTTGAATCATCGATCTTTTGCATTTTAGTGATTAACCGAAACATACATTTTTTTACTTTTTGCATATTTTGCCTTTTGTGTTTCAACCGGATTAAATTTGGATATTTTCCGTAAATTTTATTTTGCCCAAAATCGGCATGAAATCTTCATTTCCATGCCTACTTTATGTCAGGGAAACGTTCGTTTCCATGACGGAGGCAGACCAGTCTACTTTTCCTGCCGCCTGTCACTTTACCGGCCGCACCTGTCACTTTTCCTGCCGCACCTGTCACATTGCTAAATGTCTATAATGACACCTGCCATCAATGACAGATTGGAATTAAATCCAAATTTCTATATGAAAATTGAAATTTTATTTTAAAATACGATTTCGGGTAAAATTTAATACAAAACTCGTCAGTCAAATGCCGTTACTTGACTTGGGGCCTTGTACTTCAATATTTCCTCGTCAGTAACGTGTCATTTTCCTGACTTTTATGTAAATAACTATTGTATTCGGACCGTTTAATTTTTCCTTGTGTATTAAGTTTACCGCACCGTAAATATAGCTTTTGCTTTTTCTTGCACAGTAACTTCAACCGCTCCGTTTAATTGCAAGGTAAGAATTTCCGTTTCACTCATTGTAGGGGAGGGGGGATATTGCTAGCTTTCCCGCACTTGCTTTTGCGCCGATTCCCCCGATTTGCGTTTTGTTGCCTTCGTTCCTGCTAGGGAATTTGCTGTAATTTTGTTTTAGTTTTTCCGAAGTGACCGTCCGGATAAAGTTCCTCGCATAGAAATTGGCGCCCGAGCAGGGACAACAACATCTGGTACAGGTGTGAAGTTGTGTTGAAATCTAAATTTTTTTTAAACCTTTCAATTTCGCAATGTTAATTAATTTTAAAATTTGAATTTTGCAAATTTTTCATATTGATTCTCAACATGTAAGTGAAGAGACTTAGCACATCTAATATTGAGCCTCTTCAAAATACAACAATGCGACCTATTGTAATACGACTATCTTGTGGCACGAGTGGCGACGTGGGTTTTTACAAATTTTTGTTATTTATTAGAAAGTACTCGGAATCTCACATTTAAATTTATCAAAGTTTGATGAACAGAATTTGAGATTTCGAGAAATGGATCGCGACAATGTAACGAGAGAAGTCCACTCTAAAAAGAAATGTTATGCGGAAATTCTATGATTTCCTCATGATTTTCATTTCCATGGACCGTTGTAATAGTGAAACCGGAATTTAGTGCTTTAGTGTGAGGTGTCCATGTGGATTTTCCAAAAAAATTCTCTTTTCGTCTGCACCGGAAGTCCGGTTGCAAATAATTGTTTTTTATTAAATGGGAAATTGCAACCAGAAAAATTATTAAAATAAATGCTTACGACTAGATTTGCGGTTGCCTTATTAACTTAACCTTTTTACTCCCCTGGTTTACTCGAGAGATCTCCTTCTTTTGTCTGAAATTGGTCCACAAAAATGGTTTCTTTGACTGTACCGTCCAGCAAAATGATAACACCGAAATAATAAATTACTATACACGGTGTATCTTTTCGAGCGATAAAATTCTTCACTCCGCATTCCGCATTATTTTCTGAGTAAAGAAAGTCTAATAAAAATTTTCCTCCAGATGACGCAAATTGCAAAGTCAAGGTACTCGTAGACTGGAAAACTCCATTGCATTGATGCAACAATTTAAAACTGGACAAAAAGGTGCAACCTGAGGATTAATAATCTTGTGTATTTATAAGTGTAACACTTTGGAAATTAATGAAAATACTTCTACATCTCCCCGATATAACTGCAAATTTTTTGGTGTACTGATTCATAGTTATTAGCCGTTTGCTATGTGAACTACTATGACTTAAATACTTCCTGAAGGAGTCATCTAGAAGACTTTTTTACTCAGAAAATAATGCGGAATCACGTAGTGAAGAGTTTTATCGCCTGAAAAAATACACCCTTATTTATATTGATCAAGAGAAATAGGAAAATATCGAAGACGTTTTAAGGATGCATCTCCTTTGGTACCTGGGTTTTCTATTGAATCGCTTCCTTACTAAATTTCTACCTGTCATGAATTTGGATAGTTAATATCTAAGTCGAGGTTACCATCTCTTTTACTAGCTCTAAATCGATCAATAATTTGAAATCGAATCGTTAATAATGATGCTTTTTATGATGACAAATTGGTTTCCATACAGTGAATTTTGTATGGATGTCGATTGAAATTTACAAGGAATACGAAATTTATAACTAACCTTTTAGTTACAATTCTTTCCTCGATATGGACGTCTGGAATTCTTACAGTTAATTTTGAATCAACGCTCTGGAGTAGTTATCAGTTGGCTTCATTGGACGCATGCTTGAAAAACCCACGGACTTGACAGCTTCCAAACAATTATTCTTTGAATTGGAAAGCACAAGCACAATAAAGGGTATAAAGTGTAAAATTATGATACATCAAAAAATTGATTTTTTTCTATAACTTTTTCGTAATAAACGCGAAAAAAATGTCTTCCTTGTTGAAAGCCTCGCAACAATAACGAACCAATTAGCGAAAAAAATTCGTTAAGCCGCTTGTGAGTAAGAGTGCACTTTTAAATTTGTTTTTTCAATTTGAATGGCCCTTATGGATATTTCAAGTCTTAACGAGAATACCAACATGAAATAATTTTAAATTTCTGATCGAATGACACTAATACCAAGTCTGTAAGTAGTGTAGTTCCGGAGCCTTTGTGACTCTGACAGACAGACATCAAGAACGCAAAACTGAACTTTTTATTTTTTGAAAGTGAAAGTGCACCTTAGACCATATAGTACATGGACTGCTATTCGCCCTATGCTTTCAATACAAAATGGATGGTCACGAGTAGAGGGCACTGTAGTCGTGGGGATGTGAATCTCAGGGTAAACTAAAGTCGTGTAAACACCACTAGGATCGCTTAAAGAGCAGCTTTATAGCAACCGCGTAGTACGGGAAGCTTTAAATACTCTTCATTATTTACTATACGTCCACAAATAAGAATAAGTTTGCTTTTTTTGGGATATCTAGGCGGTTAATTAATTGACGTTTGTTAATTTATAGGTTGACAGTCTCAAATCGTGTCTAATCGGACAACTTCGGACAGACTCGTTTACCCTGAAACTCACATACCCAGGCGATGTCCTTGACCATATTTTAGTTACAATTAGCAGTCCATGTACTATATGGTCTAAGTCAAAATACCATACAAATTTGTAACATTGCTGTTTCTATTCTGAGAAGGCCGTATTCTGTGGTATAGGGTAAGTAAGTAACGGTTTCAGCCACACACCATTTATAGTCCATAGACATATGAGATGTCTATGGCTCTGCATGTGTAGTGTTATACAAATATTTGTGCTTAAAGGCGTTTTGTCTATCGCCCCACTTTTTTTTTGGTATAACTCCAAATTAACTCCTTGTACCTATACATGGTTTCTATTTTCGTTTTAGTAGCAAGCAATGCGTAAAACAATTGACTTATTATACCTAGTATATGTTTCTTGTATCATTACACAGTTGTACATAAAATACGAGTAATGAATAAGTTACAGTGTCAGTGTATGACAGTGATCACTACCCTCTTCTTACTAAACGCACTTCTTTTGATAGGAGTTGTAATAAAGTGGCAAACCAGTTTGAACAAATCCGACAGGAAATATCGAAACTTACCCACGAGCCCTGCCGTTGAGAAGCCCCATTTCGCAGTCAAAATAGTGACATTTGACAACGACGTTGACGATCACTGTGGCGGCGCGATTATAAATTCTCGTTGGATTGTTACGACAGGTCATTGTGTAGGCGTGGTAGAGTCCTACACGACGAAAAAGATGATAACATACGTGGCGAGTACATTTAATGAGGTTGTGAACGAGGTTGAAGTGGCCATACGTCATCCAGAATTTAACAGTAGCACTTTAGATGCCGATATTGGTCTACTGAAAGTTGTTCAACCATACGAGGCGGGAGTTGCTGTTCAAGTACCACGCAGTGACTATAAGTATGTAGTGAACTCTAGTGTGAGTGCTGTGAGTCTCGATGAAGAAATTACCGAGGTTATAACGACTGTTGAAATTTTCAGTCGAAGATATTGTAGTAATTTGCTTAGTGCGACCTGGAAGTTGCTTACAGAATCAATGATTTGTGGTGGATTGTACACAGGGGAGAAGCCCGATTGTCTTTATGATACTGGTAGTCCCTTAGTGGATGGCAAAGTGTTAATTGGCATTATTTCGTGGGGTAAAGGTTGTGAAAAGGTTGACATACCGACAGTATACACTAAAATTCCACCATTTGTAAAATGGATAACAACTACAATTGGGGATGATCGTTTAAGTACTGACCAAGTAAAATAATTAGAGGATTCCATTCATGCGTAGGTATCATATTGAGTTGTGTAGATTTCTGAATTGTGAATATAAGATTGTTACACATAATAAACAGAATCGTAAACACTACTTTACTTGTGTATATTCAGGATGAGGTGATTATAAATCAGTCATTATAATGAAATAACCGGAAGGAGAGTCTTTTTTAAGGCGCCTATTCAATCCGAAGTCGAATGGACAAAAGTATTAATCTCATGTGCCGTTTAGTCTCCACGCTCGCTGGATTAAGTCCCTTACCCGCTCGTTTTGGTGATCTCGCAAGCCTCCGAAGATTATCCCGTCGCGCTGGTGATAAATCCCTTGATGGTGGACATGTCCAAATCTAATTTCCGCACGAACCATTTTCAATGCGTTATTTTGAAATATCTGCAGTCTTGAGATTGAGATGGAAAGTGAAGTAACGGTACATTCCGTCAGGGATTTCCTATTTTTTCGATTTTGTATGTAGGCGAGTGGTTCCTGAATACGGTTCTAGACTATAAATTCGTATGAAAGCTTAAGGCGCCGAGAAGAATGGGAAATGCCGAAATTAGCTAGCTTGACTTTGCATATCTCTCATTATTAAGCTTGCTGGGTGGCTTGTCAATTGTCGATTTATGCCGAGTTATGTGTGTCAAGAAACCTTATTTGATGCAAAAACCAGTTTTAATTGATGGACAGGGATGGAATTAGGCGTGAATTACAAAATAATAGTTGTAAGAATCAGGTTGTTGGTAGAGAGCCGTGGTCCAATGTGCGTTAAGCCATGGTAGCGATCGCGTCGAGCGATTAAAAAAGTTAAATATGGGTTCCGATTCCGCACTACTTAAGTAGAATTATTTTTTAAGGGTTCCGGAACCGGTTCCGGTATTGTGGTTTCAGTGATTTTCGGTTCCGGTTCGGACTCCAGCTTCTTTTGGTTTTTAAGGGTTCAAACATAAATAAATAAAATTATTCTACAAAAATCGCTTTGTGAACAATAGAATAGCTTTCCTCACACGCTCTTCAACCCTTTTACGGGTTTTGATTCATTTTCGGTATTCGTCACCCTAAAATATTTTATGTTTGTTTAGTATTAACGTTAAGTTGGTAGAAATTATTGTGCCAGCTCTGAATAAAAGTGAGAATTTTGATTTTTGGCCTTTAAAATTTATTTTTCAAACGTAATTTACCTACAAAGCAAGATTTTATTTTTGGTCAATAAAATAAGCAAAGGATTAGTAATCGGCGATAAGAAATGACAGCGGATGTGACTTGTGCTTTCCAGAAAGTATGATATCCTGACTCTAGAACTTTCCAGAATCTTTCCGTTTGCTATATATGCAAATTGAATTATGTTTAATAGAAGTTCCAATATCGACGCCAAAGCGATAAATAGTGAAATTCGCGTTGGTGTTGTTATTCGTATGTTATAATTAAGTTTGAATACAAGTGATAAATAATAATAACTGTTGAAATTTACGTTACATTATTCACCTCCAAGGTAATTCATGAGGTCTAAAATACTCTTCCATAAAGTTCTAGAAATCAATCGGCAATTAAAAATTATCAAACTCCTCGTGTGAGATCGAAGGGACTTCAAGCGCATTTTTCTGTGGCAGATCATTATTCTATTAGTCAGTTTGATTTCACCATCAATAAGATCTTGTACTCCCTTTGTCGGGAGAAGAAGCTTTTGGGCGCCCAAAGCCGACAACCCCTCGAAGACGCTCGCCTTGCAAAATGTGGTTAATTTCGCCCCTAGGAAAAAAAAACAAAATTCCGTCACGCAGGAGTCATGCGAGTTTACAAGATCTTTCCGATGACACCAATTCGAAAACAATCGGACTGTACAAGAAGATAGGAAAAAACTGAAAAATCACCAGCTTAGTATAGCACGCTCGGAGATGGCGCCCAGATGTCGCTGACCACACATCATGTAACCTCCGTCTCTAAAGTTGTTAATTACACGGCCCCGGTAGGTACATGTACACTACCAGTCTTTCTACAAGCGTTCTTCTACGGGCCCGTATTTGCTACCAGCCAGCCAGCCGACCAAAGTGGGATTAAAAACTACCTTTTTACGAATAAATTTGCAAAAATGCGCAAAAAATCAAATTGTCGTTAACTACTTCATCTCCCTGTTATAAAAATGTACGGAGGGTGACTTTGTGGATGGACACTATTAATTTTGGTCAGAGCAATCAGGGGTGCGGAAGGAGAGGCGGAAAAACACTTGAATAAAAAAATTAGATTATTCAATGGTTTAGATATGGGAAGAGATTCCTGTGTCTATATTTAGCGCCCAAAATTAACTAATAAAATAAAGTCACTGTACCACTACGGAAGTAGACGAACCGTGCAACAGGGATGGTAAACTTTGGTTGCGAATGTGCGGTTTCTGTCTTTTAATTTTCTTACTCCTTGGCAATGTGCCATTCGGTAAATATAAGTAAAATACAGTCATAACACTATTAATAGCACAACCTACTTAACTATATAGCTAAATTCGCATCTGACTCTCACTTCATTAAATTAATTGCCTCAAAGCGTTCGGTGCGTTCATCACGTACTCGTTCTGTATGAATTAATACGGTCCAGTTAATATGTCGGAAGAAGCCGCGAATTCTAATTCATCACCTGCTAGTGTTTGTGCGGAATGTCAGCAACCGGCGAACTTAAAGTGTTCGGGTTGCAAACTCGTGTCTTATTGCTCTAAAGACCATCAGAAGAATAATTGGCAAGTGCATAAAACGCTATGTCGACCATTTGAGGTAAGACCCATCTTCCAGTTTCTGCACCTTTATCTATTGATACCGGGCCAATTACAGTTGCATTTTGGATAAGATATTGGAGGGTCTAGATTCGAGCTATGTAGAGTCGAGAGTACTTTCAATTCAACTCAATTATGCTTAGGTATGCCAGAAGAGCGAGTGTGTGGGTGATTATACCTGGCACATCTATTTTGATACAGGGCAATAACAATTCTTAACTATTTTTACTCTTACGTGCATTCTTCTTCTTTGAAATGTGAATGGGAACGACCATAAGTAAAGTTACATTTAAACAAAATGTCTTTTCCATTTTCTTGCTGCTTGTTTATAAATAAACCCAAAAACGACAGTTCTTGGTACCATACATAGCTTTCTGGTTCGTTCATAAAGATTTGTTTACCTGACCTACGGGGTGTAAACAATGCCATAGGGGCATACTTAGGTTATAATAAATAAATGCTGAGCAGCAACCAATCACTAGGTATCATTAATTTTTGTTTCCTTTTTTTTATTTACTATTATTTGCAATGTTATTGTATTCTTACACTCATCTATATACAAAATAAATGATTATTACTTGCAGTCACTTTGATAACACTTAATTTATAAGTCTCGCAACTCGGACGACGGCTGCATCGGAGATACAGTCCTAGGTGACTGCCGTTCTATCACGCGACCTCGATGGCGGTACTTGCCCGACGACTGCTTCTTGTATCTTCCATTTTTGTAGACGAAGCAATAATTAACGTCTTCCTCTAGGATTGACAACACAGACCAATATTTCTACCCACATAGGTGTAGGTGCGATTTTAACTAAATTTTGATAGGTATAGTTGAAACGCCTGGAGTATGGGCTGTAGGTCTTGAATTAGACAAACGGATAATAAAATGTGGTTATAAATGTGGCACCACTGGAAGTACCTTGAATGGATTCGTACCGCCTCTAATTCAAGAAGATGCGGAAGAAAATTAGTACAGTGAATGTACGCTTTGTTTATTGACAACTGTTTACATAAATGGATGTTGACAGGAATTTGTTCTTGACGCCATATTAAAATGGTCTACAATTTCCTTATCTGCCTGAAGCGTAACTTTATTTTTAACTGTAGATGAATCCTCTCTGATATCAGGTAGCGATTTATACGTTGAATTTAAATTTGAGTTGCAGCGATTTAAGACGTAGAAGCAAAAGTAAACGCTCTAAATATTTTGAACACAAAATTTACCTTCAGTGAAGGTGTAGATAATGAAATAACACAAACATTTGCATATTCCGCTAATTGCGGTTAAAAGAAATAAAGAAATTATTAGAAAACAATTAAACCCCCGCATATGAAACGTGCCGTTGAGAAAACAAAAGCACGCTCATCAAGCGGTCAGGTCCGAAACTACCAAATTTTAGTCATGAATGATAAGTTGCCTATACGTCAGGACTACACGTCAGAGATCTTAAGGGTGGTTTCCTCAGGGTTTATAATTGAGTCTCTTTAGGATTGCGCGATTCTTAGTATAAGATGTACAGCATAGAAGTTTCTCCAAAATAGCGTTGCGCTGTTGTTTTTTGAGTCAATGGTTTCTCATAAATTTGTTGGTCTATTGTTTTGAAGTCCATGGTTGCCGGATACGGCAATGGCTGATTAATTAAGAGAAAATCGGCCGCGCCAGTCTGGCTGAGATGTATAGATATATAGCGTCAGTCTCTGATGAGTTGAGCTGGCAGGACTGCCGGAAGAGTGCTGACGCGATGGTTTCTGGCTAATTGCTTTATTGCGGGATTGGTAAAGGAAGATGCAGTTTATTGGTAGAACGAATAGAGGTGATGGCCGCTAAAGCCGATTAGCAGACATTTCGAAGGTGTGGTTGTGTAATTGGAAAAAGTGGGGATTAAGAGACCGTTTTTCGGAGCGCATTATGTGAATATCCGCGAAGTAGTACGATTAAAATTCAATGCTAAGCCACGGATGTAACACGGCCCTTTTTAAGTCCTACGTTCGAATGACCATTATAACGAATAGTTACAAAATGTGAACTTGTTAATTCAAAATTTACAAATATATGGGTTGCACGGACTAGCTTAATCGAATGGGAACTATGTGAACTTGCTTTATGATTGCTGCTGGTGTCAAAACTCATTTTTATGTACTCCTTGACATAGAAAAACTGAGAGCATGTGATCTCCCCTGACGTAGAAAATCTCTATCGATCAGGTCAATAAAAATCTTAAGCAATTTAATTCACGGCGAATAAAAAAAATACAGAACCAAACGTTTTACGTTACCCTCTACATATTTTTTTCCTGGTGTTGCGTCGATGAAATAGAAACTGCCTGGATATAGAATTCTCTTTGCTGAGTGTAGCCATAGAGTTGGTATATAGTTTAGTAACACATTGTATATTATTGATATAGTCTGTGGTTACGAATATGAAGTAGAAGTTGCGTTACCGTTTTTTACAAATTATGCATTCATGTTTTTGTTCAAGTAAATAAATATAAGTAAAGTACACTGTCTATTTCATTTATTACAATTACAACAATACTCTTAGGTCGAAGTTCGTATTTATGGTGCCTAAAGTTGATGGGAATAGGCCCTAATCCGCCTAGATTGAAAATATATCTTTATTGAATTGATATATCATTATCAGTCAGTCAAGGGACATACGATCTGTCGCATCGTGAACTTTTTAAGTTTTAAAAACCGAATTCGGTTATTAAAGTTCTTGCCATTCAACTCAGCTACTGTTATCCCGTTAACCGCGCGATCTACTTTTCGTCACCGCATTCCGAACGGAAGACTGGCACGTTATTGCGACCGATTCTTTCCTCTACCTTTGTATAATTTGCTATTTATTTTACCGAGTAGAATAACCAGGAGAATAACCGAAACGGACCCAACGCAACTCTTGCGGACAGCGTCGCTTCTCACCAAATCCGATAGCACCAATTCTTATCTGCTTTGTGTCTTCGGTTCGGCAAAAGAACCATCGAAGCACGTTCATTATTAATAAACTGACACGTGCCTACTATCCATACGAAGCGGTACAATGCAAATTTTACCCATATATAAAATTCGAAAAATTTAAACTGCAAAGCGAGCTCCCGTTACAGGGAGGCGCTAACTTAAAGACAGATGTTCCGGTTTAAAAATGAGAAACTCCTAAAAGACGAATGACCACGATACGTGTTAAAGGTAAAGTAAATTCATAATATGTTATTAAATGAAAGTTAAACCGCTCAAATAAAAAAAAATATTGCGGAGGTCAGGTGCGAGGATTTAAAACTGATTCACCATTTCCGGTAAAATGGACGTATTCAGTAACGTCAGCGTTAATCATTTGCCGTAATCAACTTTGCGGGCAGATAATCCGTTGTCATAAAATAATACCCTTACATTTTGATTGCGTAACATTGAGTATTACTTTAGATTTCGAAATCAATGCGGCCTTCCCGTTATGAGCCCGAATTCAGCATCAATCATTCTCTGTTCTATTTCGTGAGACCTACGCGGAGGTGATTCAGTTGGGCGATACAAAGGGTAGTTTTAGTCGCTGTATAACTAAGGTAAAGTTTAATTTTCTATTTCTATTCAATACAGACCAAGAATATTAGGCTTTATCAGAACAAGAAAAGAAAAAATAATTTGATTGTCTTCTTTTCCTGATTAAAGCCCTTACGAAAGTGGGTTGACTTTTCGTTTCGTTCAACATTTGGAACTCGATTAAAAATGTTAAAAGTTCTATTGGACTTCAAGACTAAGTCATAAAAATCTCTTAACTGAGTTAAACGTAAAGTTATTGCGAGTTGGTTCTAAAAACGGGGATGTTACGTCATTTTGCATCGTTAGTGTGAGGGGTTTATTAGATTAGTAAGTAGAAAAGTGTCCATTTCTAATGAGTTTAGGACGATCTGGTCACTGAATTATTCGATGAAGTTAATATTGATTTTTTGGAAGGCTGTAGATTAAGGCCGAACTTGATTGATTTTAAAATTTCTCACAGTATCGTTAGTTACTTCTTCTTCGAAAATGGAAGAGGCACGAAAGGGTATCGTGCAAGTATCATCAAAGTAACGTGATCGAAAGAGAGCATTTAGGACTGTGTCTTTAATACAACAGTCGTCCGTATTGCTAGGCGCCATCAAGTCGATAAAGAATTGGTCACCGGCGATCAGGAATAATAGTGGGAGTGACTCATGCTTTCTGTCAAATATGATACGCCAACTTTATAGATTTTTGTAGAAGCTTTTTGTTTGCTATATAAGAGATTGAATTGTGTTTAGTCTCAGTCTTAACAACAAGGTGGAAGTGATAAATAATAATTGTACTGTTATAAATCTTAAAATTAAATTTTTAAATATACGTTACAATACCCCTCTTTCCACGCTGTTTGATCAAAATATATACTTCTTTTCACTTTTTTCGCCTTTTCGAATATTGTGACTAGGTACCTATATCTAAAGCAATGTTTTTATAACGGTTACTTTAGAAAAACGAAATTTTACCCAAACATTAAACGATAAAAAACGGTGTTTAACACCAAAACATTGGCGCTAAAGACCTATCTAGTTAGTACTTAAATCCGCAATTATATGTTTATTTTTTCTTACTACACGTTTCAGATACAAACATCACCGGATCTGGGCAAGCACTTAATTGCCACTAGAGACATACAACCGGGCGATATGATATTGTGCGAGAGTCCCTTGGTTTACGGACCACGGCCCCATATAGTAGAAGCAGGACCTGTCCCTTGCGTCGGCTGCTTCAAGTACGATTTTGCCAGTTGTTCAAAATGAAAACGCTTAAGTTCACAGATTGATTATGTGCGAACAATCTCCTCGTTGTGATGGTTGCGGCTGGCCAGTCTGCCATTCGTCTTGTCAAGGGCTGAAAGATCCAACAAATCACGGCCTTGAATGTTTAATACTCGGCCTTCGGCCAGAGGGAGCGATCAACAATTTCCACGATTTTTACAGGTATAAGTAGGCGTCTTTTAGTGGAGAGATTTTGCATTGTTATGTTTTAGGCAGGATACTTTAATGGTTGTTCGCTGTTTGCTGCTGCAAAAGAAGGGACAGAAAAAGTGGGAGCAACTTATGGAACTGGAACCACATTTAGAAGCAAGGGGAAGAGGTACTGACGTATACAAGTAGGTATTTTAATCCCTTATTACCTCTTCCAGGAGCACTCATGTTTATGTTTCAGGAATGTGGAAGAACGAATTGTGAATTATCTAGAAGACAATTTCCTCAGTAGGTTAAAGGATTTGGAAAGGAAAGCTGAACGTGATTTGCTACCTGAAGCGTCTGCAAGCGTAATTCATCGCATCGCGGGTATTCTCGATGTGAACGCTTTGGAAATTAACCAAGACGCCGAACTGTCAGCAGTTTATCCGACAACTAGCTTATTGGAACACAGTTGTATTTGTAACACGTACCACGTCTTCGATGATGCATCACAGAACTATAAAATTACTGTAAGAGCAGCGGTACCCATAAAAAAAGGTGAACATATATCAACAATGTACACGCACGCCCTTTGGGGTACGCAGGCCCGCAGGGAACACTTGAAAGAAACCAAATACTTCTCGTGCAACTGTCGCCGATGTAAAGACCCAACTGAACTTGGAACTTACCTCAGTGCGCTTAAATGTATTGGAGTCGATGACAGACCCTGCGGAGGCAACCAACTTGCAATAAATCCCTGCGATCCGAATACAGAATGGGCCTGTGATAAGTGCGAGGTTAAACTTACAAACGATGAAGTCGCCTATCTCGTTAACAAAATTGGCGAGGAAGTCGATTACGTCCAACTCAGCAATCCGACCGTGAAGGAAATGAGGGAACTCCTAACGAAGATCCTTACCTTCCTACATCCCCACCACTACCATATCTACTCCGTTAAACATTCACTGTTACAATTATACGGTTACCAACAGGGCTACTTACCGAACCAGATAAGCGACGAGTTACTTATTAAGAAGTCGGAAATGTGTCGGGAGCTAATCGAGGTCACAAAAACAGTGGATCCGGGTAACGCCAGGTCGGTGGTCTACTCCGTTAAACATTCACTGTTACAATTATACGGTTACCAACAGGGCTACTTACCGAACCAGATAAGCGACGAGTTACTTATTAAGAAGTCGGAAATGTGTCGGGAGCTAATCGAGGTCACAAAAACAGTGGATCCGGGTAACGCCAGGTCGGTGGTAAGTTCTATGAAGCGCTAGCTTATTTTAGTTGTTTGCAGGTTAACGTTGTATTCAGGAGTTTTATACCACGAGCTTTTCTTGGCCAACGCGTTCTACGTTAAACGGAAGTGGCACGTGGAGGACAAGAAGCAGATGGTTTTGCTGGTTGAGGAAGCCGTAAGCGCTCTAGCGGAGGCCAAGCAGATTTTGAAAAACGAAAGTTCC